TAGTTCATGTTTTAGATCGAGTTTGTCGCAATTTTAACTCCCGATTTTATTCCCGAATTTGACTGTTTTATGCTCCCGATTCCCGCCCGAATTTGGGTGTTTTTATTCCCGAAAAATAGAGACTCTAACTATGACACATATATCACTACAATAATACATATAATGTTTTAAGATAAAATTGAATATATAATAATTAATTTATGTTTTATTTAGCAAAATATTTGCTACAAAATTGTTGTTATTATAGGGCCTAAATATTTTGTATTGCAACTTATTTTCTGTATAATTATCCATGAATTATATATTACAAAATATATTACTGGGAAAATTTGGGTAAAATAAAATGAAAACAAATTACGTGGCTAACACTCCATAGGAAAGTATACACAGTTAAAGTAAACATATAATGGCGACCGTAGAGTAAATGGAATAGAGTGGTGTCACGTGATTGTGTCCATTTTTATATACCTAAATTTTCCCAGTAATATTAACACTAGTGTCATATATAGTGCAAATAAACCATGTACTCTGCTTTACTGATAATTCGGGTATTAATTAGAGTAATAATTGCTAAAAATTAGTTACTTTACATATTCTTATATTATATACAACACTAACAAAATGTGATTGATATTTAATTTTTTAGATTTATAGTTAATGTCAAATAATTAAATATTTCAATTTACAAATGTAATAAATATATGAATAAATTCTATGACAATCATGTGTTTAAAAATAAAAAACATTAATTTTTAAATGTTATTACCACTACTCGTCATGACCTAAAATAGTTAGTCGTGATTATTGTTTGAGCTTGGTTATTTATTAAAAATTACTCATGATAAATGTTACGCTATTTTTAGTTATCTTGTGCCCTTTAGTATAAAATTAATTTATAAATAAGACCCCGATCGTTTATTAATGTTATTATATATACAGTATGAATCATCGTTTATGATAGTATTGATGAGTATAAATAATAGCATAAAAGTGGCTCTACAGAGGCTCTAGAGCAGTACTTGGCATTTTTCAAAAAAAGCTTTCAAAAAAGTTTTTAACTAAACATTATTTTTGTTGTGTTATGGTAATTTTTCAAACATTAATCACAAATGCCATTACATTTATTTAAAAAATATTGCACATAAATTGTATTTGTTTTGCTGTGAACAACCAATCACTCTATTTATTTGATAACTACATATGTGAATGCGTTTAAGTAATAACAAACTGAAAATAAACTAAGTTGCACTATAATGCGGGCAAACGCTCAGTTTTGCACTCTCTGCCATTCGCTGCTTTAGAGCGTATTTCTGGTTATTACATTAAAACAATTTTAAATAAAATTTTAATTCTAAAATACAAAATATCTATATTTTTAATTTAATTTATAAATAAAGATTTATTACAACAAAATTTACAATTTAATTAAATCCATATTGTAACTTAATTAATAATAAATTATTTAAGCAATATTACATATTTTCAAATTTAAACTTTTATTAAAAGTCTATAATAAGTTTGATGTTAGTTAATCAATTATTATTTTAATAATACTGTATTTACAATCCTAACTAACGTAATACATAATTTAAACTGTAATATGTATTAACTTGCATATTCTTTTTGATTAATTTTAATAATAATTTATATTTATTGTAATTATTATTTAAATGATAAAAGAAATAAAAATATTAATAAACAATTTTTAAGTGTACAAATGTAAAGCTTTGATTAAATTAGCAATCTTAATCATTTTTTAATTAATGTAAAATACAAAATATTGATTATTTGAATGTAATTTAAAAGCAATAATTTATGATTAGTGGCATAAATAGTTTTAGAACTTTACAATACAATTAACAGTTCATTTTTAAACCTGTGTAACATCAATGAATTTTAAGGCGATTCCGGATATTTTTTAAATGTTGCATGTTGCAATAACGGGTATTACGATCAATTCTATAATATAAAGTGCAATGTAAATGTAATATAGTCTACATGTATTAGCATAATTACATTATGTATATTACACAATATTGCATTATTAAACATTTGATATATGAATTTAGAATCAAAACATATTGCACTCCATTTATATTAAAGTATATAAGGAGAAGGTGAAGTTTACTTTAAACACAATTGTTATCAGATATTACATTGAACTTGATAGTTTAGCCTGAAAACATTGTTCCTATAATAATTATTATATTTCACTGTATTCTAATAACAATTACTTCAAACATATTTATCATTTATAACAATATTATATTGTAATTATTGGTACGTAAACCAAGAATCGGTGGCAATATTAGGTAAATATATTATTAATGTAATTATCATTTAAACTAATATTAGTATAAAGTAATTATAGAATAAACAATTTTGTCCCCATATTCAATAGTATTGCACAATTAATAAAGAGTTTTCTTACAATACAGTTTAGTTTGTAATCCAGTGATAAATCATTTAATGCATGGGTCAATGATGTCATCGCCGGGCGCTCTCTCGCTAAACGTGCCCTTCAGAGTGGAAATGGATTCACGACTGACCCATTTGGTCAACAATTGTCAATCGGACTCGTCGTCTGGTCTACAGAGTGACGGCCTGTTGATGGGGTCAACGTCTGCGCCACTAAACCGCAACCCTTTTAGTATCGATGCGTTGACTTCGAGGCCATTCGTATCGCCCGTAAGCGGACAACTGTCCATTGGATGGCAATCACGGCCACTGCTCAACGCCTTGTCTAACAATTCTCGCAGTAATGGCTCAATTGGTTTAATCGGCAAACACAACAATAATGGACCAAATGGTGCGGACGAGTGCTATATTGTTGACATTTCTGGTCACGAAGACGACAACACGACGGATTGCGAGTCAATACAAAACAATTGTAAGGTATGTAAGGTATGCGGTGACAAAGCCAATGGCCGTAACTACGGGGCTCTTACATGTGAGGGCTGTAAAGGTTTTTTCAGGCGATTCAGTAAAAAGAAACCCAAGGAATGCAAAACTGAAGGGAAATGTATCATAAATGTGTTTAACAGAGGGAAATGTCAAGAGTGCCGATACAACAAGTGTCTGAGTGTCGGTATGAGTCCCGAGTTAGTCAACCGCAGGGGTGAGAGCGCTGACATAAACCCATCATTTGTCGGCACACAGGGAGACAAACATAAGCCCAACTCCACTACTGTTTTGCTTTTTCTGGTTATGGATCCCAAACACTATCACATGACCTCCAATAGGGTTACCAACTTATCCAATGCCATACAAGCGTTGTCTGGCGAGCAATTCATCCCATGGCTCGTCAATTTACAGAAAAAGTTTGAGACACCGTCTGAGGCAGACATAAACAAAATTCCTAAAATAGAATCGGGTGTTTTAAATCAAGATCACGTGATGGGAATGACGGTATTAACATTACAATTAACTTTCGAGTTTTTTAAACAAATACCCGGTTATAACGCACTTTCAGAGGACGATAGGGTCGCTCTTTATAAGGTATAGTTGTTATAATCAGTCAATCGTTTACTGATATAGTGTTTGCATTGAAGTCGCGATCGGCCGGAGTAATGATGTTAAAGGCTGCGCGCAATTACGAGTGGCGCACCGATACCATAAAGTACGCCACAAATCAGCGCTACACCCGTAAGGACCACGAGATTGCATGCGTTGGCTACACAGCCGACCCTTTGTATGATTTTTGCCGATGGATGACCGAACGCGGCGTCGATGCCATAGAGTACGCACTGATCACTGCTATCGCGCTCTTCGATGAGAGACCCGGTCTATCGGATGGGCAGACAGTGACCACAATTCAGGGTAAATATATTGACGTTTTGAAGGCATACTTGGATCAGCGCAGGCCTCCCAACACAGACTATTTTTACCGACTGTCCGCTATTGGGACACGACTGCAAACTCTGACGAATGTCAACACCGAGACGTGTTGGGCGTTGAAAACACTGAATCTGGTTGTGCCCCCACTTTTGGTCCAAGTTTGGGACATTAACGTTAAATGTCCTATTTGTCAAATACAAAATAATCAATAATTTATTGCTTAATTTGTTTATTGTCTATCAGTTAAAATAATTCTCAACCCATATGTATGGGATAATTAACCACTTTATTATTATTAATTATTTGTTAATTGTTGTATATACAGTATTTTAATCTGCAGAAAGGAATCTTTTAGCAAATATTAACTTCACGCATTATCTACACTAAATTAAAAACTATAAATGTTTTTAACAATTTTAATTTAATAAATGTAGCACTAACTCTATTAAATTTTCACTGCATTTAAATTTTTTTTATTGTGTTAATACAAATGGCAGGCATCACTTATACTAAATGTCGGGTTAATGTGTTTTGTACAAAATATTGCTATTAAGAGTGTAAACTTTGTAGTGTATTTAGCGTTGCCAAACATACTGGTAGTTTCTATATTAAATAGAAATTTCCACATAATAAAGCAGAAATTTTACTATATATTGGAAAATACAAGAATAAATATTTTAAAATAATCTATAATACAAGAAATTACAGAAATCTTTGACCATTTTCTCACATTTATATAGGATTGTGAAAATATTATTTGGCAACGCTAAGTGTTTTGCAGAAAATATAGTAAATATGTTAAAATCACAAATATTTTTCACAATATAAATACAATAATTATAATTAAATTCATTTATTTACAAAGCTTTTGACTTAATTTACAAGCACTTTAATTGACTATAGAGCTTTGCATCCGTCGATTCGGCAAAACCAGTGGCTAGTGAGTACCCCTCAAATATCAGTCCAAATGCCTGTCATTAAGGCTTTTATTAAACATGGAGAATTGTTTTTAATAATTGTTTAAAACAATTATCTTATTTTTTATTGACTTTTGTTGTGATTTGTGATGAAAAATGCATTCAATAAGAATTTTAAAAAAACAAAATAATATATAAATTGGTTTAATTAAAAAATTACATTTTATAAGTGATTTAATGTTATGAAATATAAACACATTAACATTTCATTCAAAATTATAATAATTTGGTTAAAATTGTATTATTATAATGTATAATATTATAAATTAATATGAATTAAAATAATGTTGTGTAAAATAAAACCGTGTTATCGTAGAACATAATTAGAATGGTTTAATTTATAAATAATTAACTACGTTATACATGGGATAAATATTTAGTATTGTTATATACGAGAATGTATAAGTAAATTGATTTTTAAATAAAAATATTTAAAATAACAAACTCTTTACAAACAAGGCTCACACAGCGATGCTATACGTTAACCACAATTCGGGAAATGCAACAAAAAATTTTAAATTGTTTAATACGATTGTTGGAATACTTTCACTATTGTTATTTTGGAAATTTTGAATGTATTTTACAAGAATTAGTTTTATTTATTATGTCAGATTCATTTAGTATATCTCCATAAAAAAAGCATTATCCCATTGAAATAACATTACTCTCATAGACTTAGCATTATCCATGTTATTTCTATGAAATATACTTAGCATTGTTTGTACTTTTATTTATA